CTATGTTTTGAGTCATATCACCGTTTATCGTAATCTTAGCAGCTCGTTTTTTATAAATTGCTCTTATCATTGTCAGAAACTGTGAACCGCAGTCCCATAAGTCCAGTTTTTGCAACAAAAATTCCCAGGATAAGTTGTCGAAGGCTTTTTCTGCCATCTAAAAACATTAACGCCACCTTCTTCTCAGGATGTAGCTCATAATATTCTAAAACATTAATCATTGTTCTTATATTATTTTTAATTTGTCGTCTTGGTAGAAATCCTGTTTGGTCTTGGTGTATAGTTTGAGATAACACTTTTTACATCCTGGTTGCTAAGATACTCGCAAATATTTTATAATCTGTGTTTAATAATGATACAGGTATGCAGTTTTTAATTTCATTCTTCTCTGTGTTTGGTTTATGTATCAATGTAATTATTGTTTGGTTCCATGAATCTGGTATTTTCCCTGTTGTTCCTATATTTTGAACCAGTTCTTTTAAAACTATGGTTATCTAGTTTCAAATTTCTGATATATTTCGGCTGGTAGTCCATCTGGGCCAGGTGTTTTCTTTGTTTTTTGTTTTTTGATCGCTTCTACAATATCACAAATTGTAATAGGTTCATTCAGAATTTTTTTTGGTTATCATTACATTTGTTTTTGCTTCTTTTCGATAGATATTACTTTATTTCTTGACTATTCTGTGTTTCTTTCTGATATAAATTTTTATAAAAATTTTCCACTATATTCTTTAACTCCTGTAGAGTATGCTTTTCTTCACCTCTTTCATCTCTTAATGCTACTATTGTCCTTTTTTCTCTTTTTTTTCTAAGTTTGTATGATAACCATCTTCTGGGTTTATTTGCATTCTCAAAATAATATTGGTTAGTGTACTCTATATTTTTAGCAATTTCTTGCATCAATAGTAGGTTCATTCTATGTTGTAATAGTTTTAATTTATCTTTTACTTCTTCTGGGTTATTGTTGTTTTTCAACTTATCTTCTTCTATTTTAATTTGTTTAGTTAAATCTTCATATTTCTTCTTCTTCTGTTTTTCCCCCCAAGCATCTTGGTTAATAAACCATCCTCTTATGAATGCTTTGAACGCATCCCATGTTATTTCTATTGGCATATCTGGCTGTATGTTTCTTTTAAAAAAATCATGGATTTCCTCTTTGTTTTCTGTTTTTTTAATAAAATCTTGATCTCTTAACAGCCCTACATTCAATGGCCATCTAGTTTCCTTTTGTATTTCTTTAAAGGATAGTAATAAAGGATTGTGGTCAACAATTGTATTCAGTAAAATTTCAGTTTCTGTTAATTCTCTTAACATTCTTGTTGTTATCCACGCCATATCTATTCTTGACCATGAGTTGTGTCTTTTTGAGTAATATGTATAATATTTCTTTTCTATGTTTTTAGTTCTCCGTGCATCTATCATTATATTCTTCCGTTGTTTGTAAGAATGTTTTAGGAAGGACCATTCCTAGTTTTCTAGTTTTTCTCTGATTTTTTCTGTCCATTTCAGGATCAAATACTGCATTATAATCCCCTATGATACATACATTTTCAAATTCTTTTAGCATCAACACTTTCCACAATTCCTTTAAAAAGCCTTCTTGATTTTGATTTGAAGCATATATATTTACAATTAGTGATTCTTTTCCATTTCTTATTATCACAATGGCTATAATCCTTCCATCATCTGACGCATAATATAACTCAGGGTGTAAATATTATTTTACATAAGTTACAATGCCTCTTTTCTTTTTGACATCTGCAGCTATAAAGGCTTTTCCTAGTTTTTTGAACAACAAATGTTTTATAGTGTCTTTTTTATATGTGTCTCCTGGAGACATACTATATCTGATTTTATCTTAGAGATTTGTTGAAATATCCTTCTTCTTTTTTGCGGGCCATTAAGCCCATTTACATTTATAGATTAAAAAAAAATTAGTTCATGCCATTTTTGTTTTTGTCATCTTTTCCCCTGCTTCTGTATTGGAACCTTGTTAGCATTTGAAAAGGTGTCATACCAGGTCTTCTCCTTTCTTTTTTTGCCATAGCCCTTTTATCTTTCCCTTCATCTTGTCCTGAATTTCCTTTCTTTTCAGCTGCATCTTCCTCTCTCTCTTCTTCTTCCTTCTGCCAGCCTAGTTCTTCTCTGTATTTTTCTAGAAAATTTTCTACCTTGAAGTTTGAGTCTATCCTATGTCTTTTACTATCATAGTTGAATAATATTACTTTCAGAATCAACCATCTGTATGTGATTCCGTTTAATCTCAAGAGATTAGGGTTAGGTAGCTTTGTCTTTTTCCCTTTACTCTCCATGGTATTTCTTTCAAAAATCTTATCTTTGCGTCTTGTATAGTAACTTTGTTTTCATTTGTGGCTCTAAGTATTTTATCTTTCATTTCCTTTTTATAAAATTTTATGTGGGTCCTTGTGCCTTTTTGCATATGAAGAATTTCTTCTATATATTGTCGCAATTTCTGCTGCTATTTCCTCTTTGGTACTTACTGCTAATTGTTCTGCCAAATTTTGGGTGATCTCTTCTTTCAAGTTTTTTTTATAGATTCTGGAATGTTTTGGCATCTTAATATCAGTGCAGCTTTATCCATTTCCAGACTAATTAGTGTTTCTTCCATTTTATTATTCTTAATCTTTATCTCATAATCTAAACCCTGTACCTGTTTTTTAATTTCTTCCATTTCTGTCTTAATCTGATCTGTTATTTCCTCCATTTTAGAATGAATACATTCCATTTCTTTCTTAACTAGACCTGCTAATATTTCTGGTAATATATTTTATACTGTTAATTTAAGTGCCTGATTCACGCTCTTCTGTTATTTGTTTTTTAATTTCTTCCGTTTCTGTCTTAATCTGATCTGTTATTTCATCAATTTTAGAATGAATACGTTTCATTTCTTTCTTAACTAGACCTGCTAATATTTCTGGTAATATATTTTATACTGTTAATTTAAGTGCCTGATTCACGCTCTCCTGAATCATAATTTTTAAGTCTTTAATGGTCAGTTGTGTTATACTCATTGTGTTAAGTTTAATTTGGCTTGCTGGTTGCCCTGGTGAAGTTAAAGAAGCTTTCCTCATGCCACCAGAATCAGAACCTGTAGCCATAGATAACAATTTTCCCTTCCTTAAGCTCTATATTCTTGCTTATCTCTCCTTTTTGGATCTTTAATTATTCTGTCTTAGTTTATTATTTCACTCTCCTTAAATCTCAGATTTGTAGTCCTTAATATTTCTTGTATTACTACTCAATTATCAAGTTTCTTTTGTTTTCCTAAGTCTAGTCCGGTTATTTCCTCTCTCTGACTTCACATGGCATCCACTTTCAAGGAAGCCTTTTGGGAGAAATCAGGTAGTGCCAACAGAACAAAAACAATGAGTTGTGCCAAGCTAGAAGACAAAGACACCTCTCCCTGTATTGTTTGTCAAGCACTGGCCACTGGGGCAATTTGGACGCTAGGTACCCTCTGACAGCCTGGAACCTCTGATTCAGATCTTCCCATTGGTGCCCAAAGTTCCCACCAAATATATGACTTAGCTTCATGTCTCCAGTTTTGTAATCCTGAATCACAATTCAACCGAAGCTTCCCTTCCTGCTGCCCTTCCCCAATATCATTTTGCCATTTCTATAGTTTTCTCCTGGTAAATTGTCCCAACTCCTTTGTTGTAATCTTTTGTTTTCTGAAAAGAACCCACTTTATGCTGTGGGCCAAAAACAGGATGACTGACTTGGCTTTAGAGCTACTAATCTGAATCTGACTTGGGTTACAAACTGGACTGCAACAAAGGCTCTCAACATACTAGATCCCTCCTTTTCCCCCATCTGATTTCTACATAGTCTGTGACAGATATAGCATTGCTCCCCATCTTGATCTATCTCCCTCCCCCAAAGTACCCTGCCGCACACATAGAGCTGGCATTTTACCCCTCTTTGCAATTTAGGCCTCACATCTGGAAGACTGGACACCTCTGTCCCAACAGATTCCACTTCTCCTCTGTCCTGTTCCCCATTTCCCCCTCATTTACTTAAAGGTAACCCCTCCTCCAAATTGGAGTAGCTGTGGTCAGTTTTTTGTTATATTCAGGTGGGGTATCCATGTTGGTCTAAAGCAGCAAAACAAAGTTTGAGTCTAATGGCACCTTTAAGACCGACAAAGTTTTATTCTGAGTATAAGCTTTCATGAGCACCCCGTGCATTATACCCCGAATAAAACTTTGTTAGTCTTAAAGGTGCCACTGGTCTCAAACTTTGTTTTGCTGTTATAGTGTTAGTTTTGAATAAGAAATGTACTCCATCCATGCTTTTATTTCCTAATATTTGCTTTAAGATAAACCCTCCCACATTCTAATAAATCCCTCAATAAACTCCATATATTCCTTTTTAAATCTTTAAATCAGGTCTCTGTCATCCTTTTCCTACTGAAGCTTGATGTCAGCCACCTCTCTAGGTAAAAGATCCAATTTTTCCACTTTTTGCACAAAAATGCAGGCTACTTCCCTGTTGCTGTCTGGACACATGCTCATGTGTTTACGGGGAAGTGGTAACAGGAGAATAAGCTCAAACTTTCTAGGGCATCTTCACAGAATTAATTGATTGCCTCTTATTATGTTTGTGTCTGATTGTTGCTGAACATGTGTGAAGAAGATGTACTCCTCTTTACAGGAAGGGAAAAAATAAATATCAGAGAGAGGTCTGTAGAATGGGGGGGGGGAAGGAATGAAACAAATTGTCCTTGCTTGTTGTTTCCCTCCCCTGTTGCACAACGATTCTGTCCAGCCAAGAAAGTTTAAACTTGGCCTGCTCCAAAACAACAGTGGCCTTTGAGGAGCCGTGGGTGATGATGAGAACCATTTGGCACGGGGCTTATTGGCTTGTTTGAAAATTGTTCCCTGAAGAATGGTGAGTCACTGTCGATTGGGAAGTTGGTGGGGGGAGGTTGAAATGGGTTTGCTGTGTGATTGGCTGGCTTTGTTTTCTGGCACCCCACAGCTCCTCACTTGGACGTGGACCACTAAACATCCTGTTTTCAGATAGCTCTCTGCTCCCCTTGCGGTCCTCTGCTCTTTCTTCCTCTCTGGGCACATGCATCTGAAAGGCGAAGGTAAGGATCAAAGGCACTGCCTCTTCCTTGGGATTCTTTGTGGAGACTGTGATCTTGGTAACAGAGAGGCATAACGATTTCCAGGCAGATGGAAAAGCAGGTTGGCAGGTGACAGGACAGCAAAAACAGCACACAAATACCACAGGTGACCACTGAGGAGATTTTCAGGAGGTCCGTATGAGAGAGCAGGGATATATGGAGGCAGGAGTGAACTTGCTGCCTCACTCACCCATTGATACATGTAGTCAGTGCTTTAAGATCTCATGTTGTTTCCTACAATGTGATCATCTTCATGCCATTTTTTGTGTTTTAGTTCATGTTTAAAATTTGTTGTTTTTAGTATTGGTTGTATTACATTGCTGATATTGTTTTTACATTATTGTTTCCTGCCTTGGGTCTCAAGATGCCTAGGAGAAAGACGGGTTTGATAATTAAATAGATAGATGTGTCCTCCTACACAGAAGTGCTTTTAATACATAAAGTACTTCCCAGGTAGAAAAATCATAACATTTAAGGAGCCTTACAGTTGCAGAAAATATGGCATTTCCTTCTCAGGAAAAACAGCAGGGAAATTTCGAAAAGCACACACACACATAAGGGCTTTCAATAAAGCTAGCAACATTTCTCTAAGAGGTTCTGCACACCTTCAAGTTACTACCAAGTTTCAATTTAAAAAATATTCTGAGGAATTTTTAACGACTCTGGAGAAACATCCAAAGGGAAGTCCAAAGAATTCTGATAAAAACTACCAAATGTCAAAAAGTAGAGGGGGTATGCATTTCCCCAGTCTAAACCAGGGTAACCCCACCATCCCTAAAGCACTGTACATCGGTCTCCCCTCCAAATCAATTTGGCAACTCCAGTCAGTGCAGAATGCCGCATCTCAGCTAATATCAGGAACTAGAGGGAACATGCATATTACTCCATTCTACAGTCACTCCACTGGCTGCCCATCAGCTACCAGGCTCAATTTATAGTACTGGCTGTCACATAGAAAAACCTTCTTGGCCTTGGACTTCCTCTCTCCCTCCGCCTCTGCTTTGCCCCAACAGCTTCACTCCTCCGAGCAGGGCCTTCTGCAGGGGCCAGCCTGCAAATGGGCAAAACCGACCACGCCCCCCCCACACCTGGCCTTCTCCGCCTTGTGGAAGGCCAGGAAGGCTCCCCCGCGCCCGGGTTTCCTGCAAACTATACAAAGCCACGGTATTTATTTCTGCACAGGCAATAGGGCAGCACTGTACTAAATGGTCCACAAAGTTACCTGGATAAATTATTAGGGACTGTGGTCTAAATGACTGTGCATAGTGTGCTGTAAGTTGAATCCTATTATGTAACTTTGCTTCATTTAATGTGTCGTGTGAGCACTTACACTTTGCTTCAGTCCTGTTTTTTAGACTTCTGGTTGGTTCTACAACTCAGATTCTGTTTTATTGCTCATTCAATGTCCCATCTTGCTGACTGTATTAACTCACTCTGTGTAATCTGCCTTGAGTCCCAATGAGAAAGACGGACCATGAATAACATAAATAAATAAATAATATCATGAGCTGGAGAAGGGGGCTCACTATCTAGGTTTATTTATTTATTTATTTATTGTTTATATTTATATCCCACCTTTCCAGATATCTGGTTCAAGGCGGCTAATAACATTAAAATAGCATAAACAACCAAGGTTAAGAGTGAGTAGTTGACGTTAGGGGTGTGCATTCAGATCAACCCGAGCTGAAAATATACACGAAAAATACTTTATCAGTATTTTTCAGGTATATTTTGGCATCCCAAAGGTATCTGGATTTTTCAGGAAAACTGGAACCCACCCACCCCAAATCCTAGATATATTCAAAAACTACCAGCTAGATCGACAAAAAAAAACAAACCCAAACACCTGAGTGGCTGGAGCAGACTGCTCCTGCCACTCAGCTGTTTTTTTGAGATTTTTCTGCAGTCCCTTTAAACAGGGCTGGTTTAAAGGGACTGCAAGACAGCCCGAAAAACAGCTGAGCCGGCAGGGAGGAGTCTCCCCACCAGCTCAGCTGGAGCTCTCTTGGGCAGTCCCATTTAAAGGCACATTTAAAGGGATGTAGCTCAGAGTTCTGCTACTTGCTCAAGCTTCCAGGGCTCAGCCCGTGGCATTTCCAGTGGGAGGTGCTGGCATAATTGGTGTATGCGGTGTTTCCTCCCCCATGTTAGATGTAACCTACTCACACATGAGTTGGCCTCAGTTCCCATGTGCGCGGTGCCTGATTTGGATCTGGACTGTGGGGTACCCAGATAAGGCCCTTCATCCTTCTTCTTGCACCATTTTGCCAACCTGGAACAGTCCCTGGGGAAACCTGCATGCTCCCTGGGATACCAGTGGTTTTCCCCAGCAGGCCAAAAAAGCACACCCCGGGACTGGCTATGAAATTGTTGTGCAGGGGAGGGGGGAGACCAAAGCCCCTTCCCCACAGGCACCACCATCCCAATCTGAATCAGAGGTCACTTCCATGCACAGGAGTTGAGGAGGACCCACAACTCGTGTGTGATTCTGCTGCATCTGAGACAAGGGACCCCAGACACGCTCTGTGCACTAAGGCGTGAATCATCCCAAGCTTGAGAGAGCAGGAGAGTAGGGCCTGTCTCCCTGGGCTCCCAGTCTGAACCCCACAGCTCTTTGGAGGATGATCTGTCATATGCTGGGATCCCTGTAAAGATTCATGGATACATGTACACCTCTAAGCCCTCTGTGTGGGGAGTTTGCACTGAGAACAGTATATGGCTTTCCATTTGTGTGTGCTTTGCCGGTATGTTGTTGTCCTTTCATGTTATTTGATTGACGTTTTCTGGTTTTGATATTTATCCATAGAACAATCAAGGCAATGGGGGCTATAGGCAGGAGGCAGGCATCATCTCTTGATGTGTCATCTCACTGTAATCCGAATGGTCTTCTGATTTCATTTATGGGATCCCGCTGCCTGAGGCACAAGAACTACCTCACAGGCAAATGCTGGTAGGCAATTGTGCCAGCAGAGAGTGTGTGGTTCTGAGAGGAAGACCCAGTGGTGGGGAACTCTCCTAAGGTGGCTGCCGCTCTTCACCACCACCACCACCCCTCCATTTAGAGCACGCGCCCCTTTCTCCAGTAAAGGAATGGCCAGAGTCCTTGCCCATTTGGATCCCTACTACCTCATGTCTGGCAACGATAACGTCTGACATTATTGGCCCCTTGGGAAGAGCAATGCACAAGCCAACAAACCCTGTAGATGGAATGCCAGGACCAACGGCTACCATATCAGTAAGCGAATGCCAAAAGGGAAGAAGGTCTGATCAACCTCAGTTGTTACATTTGCTGTGTTAATTAAAACAAGAGAAACTTGACAGTTGTGTTCTTTCTCTTTCTGCTAGGCCAGCCGCAAGATGGAGGCCTCTAAAGAAAAGATCATCTTGAACGTTGGAGGTATCAGACATGAAACTTACTGCAGCACCCTCAAAGCCTTCCCAGGGACCAAGCTGTGCCAGCTCACAGAGCCCCAGGGCTGTGCTAAGTTTAACTATGACCCTGACACCAATGAGTTTTTCTTCGACAGAAGCGCCAGGCTGTTTGGTGATGTGTTGAACTACTACAGGACCAAAAACCTCCACTGTCCTGCAGAGGTCTGTAAGTTCCTCTGGGAGGAGGAGCTGGCCTTCTGGGAAATTCCTCATGCAAAGCTGGCCCCCTGCTGCTGGATGAAGCTGAGCAACACAGAAGGTCCAGAGGAGGAGTTTCTTCTCGAAGGCGACAGTGATGATAACGATGAAGACAGCTTGGCTCTTCTGGGCCAGGTGGAAAGAAGGGATCAGCATTTTTGGGCTCGGTGGCAGCCCAAGATATGGGCTCTCTTTGACAAGCCCTATTCCTCTACAGCTGCCATGGTAAGGAATGCTTCTAAATGATCCCTTGGTGTTGGAAGGTCTGCCAGAGCCCTGGGAATGGGGAATCAAACAAAGGGCATGATTGGGAGGATATTTAGTTTGGCCATTCATCTAGGGCTCTCCTCCCTATGAGGAGGCTTAAGCTGAGGCAGGATGACTGGCCCGTGGTTACCTAGTGAGCTTCATGGCTGGGTAGAGATTTAAAGGCCAGGTCTCTGCCACTGAAATCCAACGCAATATAAAGTAATCTGTTCACTGGCTAGCCCATACGACATAACTCCTATCAGCACTGGGGACTCCTCCTCTGGTTCATGTTGTAGCTTGCAAGAGCATGATGATGTGTGGGGCCGAGACATGAGAGGGTGTTGGCAGCCAGATACCTTCCTTCTGTTGCTGTGTTTCCTAATGGTCTGGAATCATTCCCGGTCCCTTTGGCAGTAGGGAATTCTGGTTGTGTGAACTAATCCGGAGTCCTCATTGAAAAGTAGTAATAGTAATGCAGTTCTAAATTGAGAGAGTTTAGAAATAACTTCACCAACTTAGAAAACCTTGAGTCCTTTGTGAGTGGAGCCCATATCCTCTTTAAACTTCAGTCTCAGCTTGTAATAGGTTAACCTGAAACCACTCTGCGTGGCTTTTTATTCCCCTTCCTCCCCCATTTTTTTCTTTGTGAAGAACAATGAATAGTCAGAAGGGCTGATAGCACTGGTGGAAACTTCACTGCTGGGAGTAGTCAAGAGGGCTCATATTACATTGATCCTATGATCATCCCATTGGCTGCCTCTAACTTTCTAGGTTCACTTCAAGGTGCTGATGCTTACTTTTTGTCTGGGAGCTGCATTATGATCAGGAAGAGAACTCTCAGAAAAAAAACCTAAATTCCTCTCTCTAAGAAAGGTTGGAAAGACTGAGGTGATTATAAATAGGGGGGGGGAGTCCACGCATCAGTACTTGAAGATGTCACTGGTTGGTCTCAGGTTAAGGTTCTAGCAAGTTCCGCACGCCTGTCGGCAGCCAATGGATGCCCCACCCCCAGTCTGGAGCACTCAGGGCCAAGAGGACCACCCAGGCAGCTATTCCGCACCTTGGAACACCATCAGATGAGGCTGTGGGTTGGGCCATGGCAGCAGAGACTATTCAAATGCATGGTTCGGGGGAATGCGTGGTGTTGGGGGATGGTGGCTGAAGAAAAGCAAGAGACTACCATTATTGTCTAATGGGTTTTCCCATCTCTTTGCAGTGCTTGATGATAATTTCCCTGCTGTTCAATACTGGCATCCTCATTCTCTTTTTCATGGAACCGATGACCGACTTTGAGTACAAGCATTTCAATGATTCAGTAGCCTATGGCATATTCCACGTTGCTCTGACGGACTCTTTCCGAGAGACTATCAGCCTGCTCTATGTAGAGCTTTTCTGCATCCTCTGGTTCACATTTGAGTTTTCTATGCGACTCTCATTCTGCCCAGACAAAAAGAAATTCCTTATAAATCCTCTGAATATTACTGATTTCCTTTCTCTGTTTCCGGTTTTCATTGAGCTCTTTTTAATTGGACATAGTGATGAAATGCTGGACACCTTATTCTGGCTGGGTCTGCTCCGTGTGCTCTACATCGTCAAACTCTTGAAGATCTTCAAGCTCCTGGAGACCCCACTGATGCTGCGAATTCTGCCCTTCGCATTCCGGTCCATCTTGAGAGAGGTCTTCATCCTCATGATGATTTTTGTATTTGAAGTCCTTTTCTTTGGTGCCCTCTGCTATCATGCGGACCTCCTTGAACCATACTCACACTTTGATGGAATGCTCTCTTCCTTCTATTGGGCAGCGATCACCTTGACCACGGTCGGCTATGGAGATACGTTTGCTGTCAGTCCATTGGGCAGAGCCATCGCATGCTGCACAGCCATCTGTGGCATCCTGACCATCATCATTCCCCTCCCAGTCTTTTTGATCAAGTTCCAGGGCTATTATGCCACCGCCGTCATGAAGGAGAAGATGAAAAGCAACAAGAGGAGCAACTAAGAGAACCACAGGGCAGCATAGTTCCAGCTTAGAGATATAAAATTTCCAGAAAAACCTCCCCCCTTTACTTTTGGTGGGGAAAAACAGGAATTTGGGGAGATATTTATATATATGCAGTACTTACCATCCTAATAACCTAATTTTACTGCTTTAGCAACATAAAGTGCATCATTTGTAACTTACTTAGCACATACAATTTCAATATTTGACATATTTATGGAACTTAAATGTTATAAATGCCCTAGCTTCATACAAACAAAATTGTAAATACACCCAGTACTTGAGAGAAAGCAGCAGGCTGACGCACCCTGTGCTGCCTTGGCACGTGCACCTTGGTTCTGGCTACCTGATTACAGAGAGCTCAGTTCTCAGGGAAACATTCTCTTCTCCTCTGAGGCTCAGGTGCGTTTTCTGCCTCACCTCCTTATGATTTTTTCCCCTTCTCCTTGAATTAAGCCCCTTTTTGCCCAGTCTGTGGGTAAATGTGTCACAGTCATTTGAGGGAGAGGTGAAAAGGTCAACCAAATTTCCAATTTTTATGTTGGGATTTAAAAAAAAATTCTCAGTAAAATATGGGAGAAACCCTTTCCTCTCATTTTCCCCCAGGCATTCACATCTCTATTCTGGCTGTTTACAGGATGAAGAAAAACCCTTCTGGAGAGCTCACACTACCACAATATGGAAGCTTTAGTTTAGCTGAAGCAAGTTGTACCTTACCACCTGAATAGGGATGGCCAAACTGTGGCTTGGGAGCCACATGTGGCTCTTTCACACATATTGTGCAGCTCCTGGCAGGGTGGCTGGGGAAGTGAAGGGGAGGCGTGCCTCCCTGATCTGTCTTCCCTTCCTCAGCCAGTGTTCCTCCCCCAGGGGTAGGGTTGAGGTGGGGGTGGACAGAGAAAGAGAGCAACTTTAACTTTAAATGCATTCTCAAGCCCCCCCCCCAACAGCCAGCTTGGAGAAGGCATTTGTCTCTTTAAATCCCTTCTCCAAGCCAAGCCAGCCAGCATGGGGGTGGGGTGGGGGGCTTGGAGAACACATTTAAACTTAGAATTGCTTTCTTTTCACCTCTCTCTCCCTGCCTCCCCCATCTATTTGCATTCTTTCTGCTTGTTTCTTTCTTTCCACCTTTCTTTCTTTCTCTCTCTCTCTCTCTTTCTCCCCTCCCTCCCCATCTAAAGTTAAATATGTTTTCCAAGCCCTGCCACACCGGCCATCTGGCTTGGCTCAGAGAAGGCATTTGTCTCTTTAAATCCCTTCTCCAAGCCAAGCTTGTGCAGCAGCAGAGGTGGTGGGCTTGGAGAACACATTTAAAGTTAAAGGTGTTCTCCAAGCTCCCGCCCGGCAGCCCTGCCTGCCAGCTTGGAGAAGGCATTTGTTTCTTTAAATCCCTTCTCCGAGCCAAGCTGGCTGGCTCTGGGGGGTGGGTGGGTTTGGAGAACACATTTAAAGTTAAAGTTACTTTCTTTCCACCCCTCACTCCCTCCCCATTTATTTGCTTTCTTTCCACCTCTCTTTATTTCTTTCCACCTTTCTTTCTTTTTTCTCTTCCTTCCTTCCTTTCTCTTCCTCCCTCCCCCTCCCTCCCCCATTTATTTGCTTTCTTTCCACCTCTCTTTATTTCTTTCCACCTTTCTTTCTTTTTTCTCTTCCTTCCTTCCTTTCTCTTCCTCCCTCCCCCTCCCTCCCCCATTTATTTGCTTTCTTTGTTTTCCCTCTCTCTGTCTCTTTCACTCTTTCTTTCCACCTCTTTCATTCTTTCTTTCCACCTCCCTCCCTCTCTCCCTCTCTCAGACAAATAAATATCATTAGGAAACAAATAACTATCATTGAACAAATAAATATTATTTTCAATATCTGTGTTTACCCCTTTTGTTTTTATTTTTGGCAGTCTCATTTAATGTTCATAAAAAGCAAATCTGCATATTTTTAATTTTTATTTATTTATTTTTATTTCGGCTTACATGACCAGAAGTCTTAAGCATACTTATGCACACACTATAAAAGTACCATTCATACAGTAAAAGAAAAAATAAAACGTATTTTAAATAAAAACATGTGTGCAATATTGTTCATGTCTTGTGGCTCTCAAACATCTGACATTTATTCCATGTGGCTCTTACGTTAATCAAGTGTGGCCACCCCTGTTATATACTATCTTGAACGGTGACAATCCTAGCTCTCCCCCAGGTACCATCCTGATCCATGTAAATGCCTGCAGCAATACTTGAGGCCATAATAGTCCAGTCTCCATATATCACTCTGACCTGAACTCATTGCTCTCCAAGCCATGTGGGGGAATGAAATAATCCCTGAAGCTTCAGCCACTCATTGAACCATCTAGACAACAAAACGGTTACCACAGTCCATATTTATACTTTCCAGTAGAGGAAAATAATGAGGTATAATGTCATTCGCTGATCCTCTTTGTCCCTGCTAATGAAAACGTCAAAAGCTAAATCCACAAGAATATTTATAGGCTTTGTCTCCCATTATTCAGGTTTTTGTAACTTCTTGCATATATTGTCCCACAAATAAAGCATTCAACATACACTAGTTATCGGGGAAATCAGGATTCAATTCCCCCCTTTTTCCAAAGACATCCATCAGCTGATCCAAAAATTCTGATAGATCCTCAGTCTTTTTCTGACGTATCTCATAAAGCTTATTTATAGTCACAGATTTAGGAACAGCCTCTTTTATGCCTTTCAAAAGTGCTGCCCTATAGGTGGCATGCCATGCCCGATCTTCAGTTGTTCTATGTCCCCAATTGGGGTCAGATCATGGAACAACCAAATTAACATCAATAGCATCATTCCCCTTTGCCTGTCAGAGTCTTGCAGCAATCATGAATCAACAACAGGCTTTTAATGAAGTTTCAGTTTATTGTTCCAGTATGGGCAAGTCATCCATACCCATTCAGTGTCAGAACGAATTCAAAAAGTGGGAAAGGGTCAATTATACCTGGTTCAAAGCAGGGTCTCCTGATGGCTCAAAGCCAATCAGGGAAGAAGCCTTTGCACGCTTAAAACTAACAGGTTCACATTCCAAGGGAAAGCAGTGCAGCAGACACCAAGGTCAAACAGCGGTAACAGGTATACTGAGAATTGAAACCAAACATACCAAACCTGAAAGAAGACACAAATCAACCACCTGCCCCTTCACCACCCACAATGGCAGCATAACTGACATTCTGCCCTCCCGAAGGGCCCCCCCCCAGGCTTCTCAGGGTACATTCTATGAAAAGCACATAACAGTTTAGTGGCATTAACATGACATTCCTCCACCCACTCATCATGCAAAAGATCAAAATCCTTCCAGCGAATTAAGTAAAACATGTGGCCTCTTTTGGTTTTAGAGTCCAAAATTTGGGCAACTTCTTGATGTGGTTTGCCATTAACCATCAATGGAGGCGGGGCTGGAGGACAAGGTCTCCAGGCATTTGGTCCTGGGTCCTTTTTGAGGAGACTGAAATGAAAGATAGGATGGATACCCTTTAGAGATTTAGGCAAATCAAGTTCAACAGTCACCTCATTGATTTTGTGCAGTACTTTGAAAGGGCCCACATATTTCCAGCCCAACTTCCTATTAGGCTGTAAGCCCCACAAGTTCTTAGTGGATAGATAAACAGAACCCCCAGGCTGTAGGTCCCATTCAGAGGCTCTACCCTTGTCAGCCTGTTTTATACGCCTTTGCTTTGTCTAAAGTCTTTTGAATGAGAGGCCGGTTGTCTTGGAGGATCTGCACCAAGTTTGCAAGTCTCCCGGAAGGAGGTCAGGAAAACCCATTGAGGGGAGGGGAACTCTGTCGTACCCATACAAGGCTTTAAAAGAGGATAAGCCAGTGGAGCCATGGGTAGAGTTGTTATAACTGTACTCTGCATACAGCAACAAGTCCACCCAATCATCCTGTTGGTAATTAGTGAAACACCGCAAAAACTGTTCCACTCCGTTTGGCCATCCATATTGGGATGGTAGGCACTTTTGAGCCCCTGCTCAATGCCTAACACTTTCATTAGCTCCCGCCAGAAGGTGGTAATGAACTGAGCACCTCTATCAGAAATTATCTTAGACAGAATTGAATGCAGTTTAACAATGCTTGCCATGAACACCTTAGCAAAAGCTTTGGCCATTGGCACCTGGCAGACCAGGATGAAGTGGGCTGTTTTTGATGGTCTACAACCATCCAAATCACAGTTTTTCCCTTGGGGGGAGAGATTTGTAATAAAGTCCATAGATATCACCTCCCAGGGACGTTTGGGGGTTTCCAAGGGCTGCAACCTCCCCGGGGGCTTCCCCGGCCTCTGTTTACCCATGAGGCAAGTCTGACATGAGGCCACATATTGCGAGTCATCCCCCCCATATATGGCACCACCAGAACTGGCGCTGCAGCAAGTGCAAGGTCCTTAGGTACCCAAAGTGCCCGGCCAGTTTCAACTCATGCGCATGGTGCAGTATTTCCCCCCTCAGGGCCTTGGGCACATATAGACGAGGTCTCCTGTACCAACAACCATTGGGACCCTGCTGAATGGTGGCATCCGTGCTAAGCTCCACAGCATCTTCTGGGGAAAACGCCACTTTTGAATTTAGCAACCCAATGATCATCACCCCCCTCTGCCTGCTCCCTCACCTGGTGCTGTGTGAGCACTGCTCCTCCCAGGTGGGAAGGGATAAACATAGAGTCTATAGTCTCCTTCCTCTGACTTGCGTGTTGCAGGAGGCAGGACAAGGCATCAGCCAGCGAGCTGGCTTTCCTGGGGAAGTGGTGGAGGGTGAACTGGAACTTGGAGAAAAGCTCCACCCACCATAGCTGTTTAGCATTGAGGCTCCGGGGGGCACACAGAGCTTTGAGGTTCTTATGATCAGTCCACACCTCAAAAGGAGTCTGCACCCCCTCCAACCAGTGATGCCACGTCATGAGTACCAGTTGAATTGCCACCACCTCCTTGTCCCAGACCACCCAGTTCCACTCTGTGGCATTGAATTTCTTAGAGACGTAGGCCAAGGGGTGGAACTTCCCATCACTCCCCTCCTGCAATATGCCCCCCATCACCACATCTGAAGCATCTACATACACAATAATTTTTTTGTTTTCATCTGGATGGGCTATGATGGGTTCAGAAATAAATAATGCTTTCAGCCTGTCAAACACCTCCTAGCACTCAGGTGTCCATTGGAGGTGAGCCCCAGGTTTGGCTTGGTCAGTCTCCTTCCCTTTGGTTTTCAACCAGTAAGTAAGGGGTAGGCTTACTTGTGCAAAGTTTGAGATGAAGGCCCGGTAAAAGTTAGCAAATTCTAAAAATGCCTGGAGCTGTCGTCTGGTTCTAGGGGCTTCCCACCCCAAGACGTCAGCTACTTTGTGTGGCTCCATCTCCAACCCCCGGGGTGAGATGTGGTAACCCAGGAATTCCACCTCCGTCTTTTGGAACTCACATTTCGACAATTTAGCAAACAGTTTATGGTCGTACAAAGTCTGTAGCACTTCCCTCACCAATTGCACATGTGATTCCTTATCTTGGGAGTGTAAAAGAATGTCATCAAGATAAATGAGGGCCCCCTTAAAAAGGTGCTTGTGCAAAACTTCATTAATCAAGTTCATAAACACCCCCAGTGCCCCCTGGAGACCGAACAGCATCACCAGGTATTCGAACTGTCCCAAGGGAGTGTTGAACACAGTCTTAGGCTCATCCCCCTCCCAGATGAGCACTCAGAAGTATGCATCGCAAAGATCCAGTTTAGTAAAGATTTTCCTCTTCACTGCCTCTGCCA